AAACATAAAAAAAAAAAATTAAAAAAACCAACCAAGAATTAAAAAATAAATCACCTTAATCGAACCAGATTTTGCGAGAATACTAGAATCTGGTTAAGTAAAAGTCCTAGCTCTCTAGTGAATAATGTGCCTTTTCTTTTTGCCCACGTATCACCTCTTCAAACAAGCATGTAATATAGTTATAATAATTATAATGAGGAGGGGGGAAAAACCGAACGTGACAGAAGGTACAAATGAAAGAGTCAATTAAATCCATGCAAAAGCGGGTTACTTTAAGGCTGCTGCTGCCAAATTCATAGAACCCACATGGGCTTCCGTATCGCTCCAGCTGGGGAGCAAGGAGGGAGCATCTGGGTTGAGGTATGAGATGAGTAGGAAACGGGCTGTTCATATTTGTTTAGGGTAAAATACACTCCTACAAATGCTACCTCTGCTCCCTGTGGCTGGATCTTCTGCTGGTGCAAATCATCATAGCCCCATTGATGCCAATGCAGCTCTGCTGATTGGCACCGTTTCAGGATGTCCCCCTCCCCATCCGTACTGGAACGCCCCGAGAAATTAAACAGTGTTGTGCCTTTCAACAGAACCATCTGCAAGGGGCTTGCTTAGAAACATTATTTGAGGCTCACGCCCATCTGGGAGGCGTTGTTATTATTTCCATGTTAAAGAAAAGGAAACTCAGGCACGGTTACACAGCAAGTCACCGCTTGCTGTAACTGCTGGACAACATGTCATCCTTACACTACAGTCTTCTGCAGGGATGCAGGTAGTGCAGCGTTTGACGCTATTGCCCTAGAACACCCTAGGCTGTGTCTAGACTGGCCAATTTTTCCGGAAAATCAGCTGCTTTTCCGGAAAAACTTGCCAGCTGTCTACACTGGCCGCTTGAATTTCTGCAAAAGCACTGACTTCCTACTGTAAGAAATCAGTGCTTCTTGCGGAAATACTGTGCTGCTCCCGTTCGGGCAAAAGTCACTTTTGCGGAAAAGGGCCAGTGTAGACAGCTGAGATTTGTTTTGTGCAAAAAAGCCCCGATCGCGAAAATGGCGATCGGGGCTTTTTTGTGCAAAAGCATGTCTAGATTGGCCACGGACTTTTTCCGCAAAAAAAGCTTTTGCAGAAAAGCGTCCGTGCCAATCTAGCCGCTCTTTTCCGAAAATGCTTTTAACGGAAATCTTTTCCGTTAAAAGCATTTCCGGAAAATCATGCCAGTCTAGACATAGCCCCTAGTGTTTACTGAAAAACTGAGGAAACGGTTTCGACTCAGACGTGGTTCGACATGAATGTGGGCAGGACGTGCGGCCTGCTCCTGAGATCACAGCTCTGCCCACCTTTCCCCAGTGGGCTCAGAAAAAAACTAAACAAAACACAAGTTCGTCTTGGGCCTAAAACCAGCTCCTAGTTTCTTCCGATGGCTGAAGGGCAGCTGGCTAGGAGCTCGCACTCGCAGCCTAGAGAAACAAAACAGCAACGCAGACTTCCACTCCCTAACACAGCTCCTTTCAAGCAGCCAATCAGAAAAAAAAAAGTGGTTTTGCCTAATGGAGATAAACAAGAGAAAAGGTTTATTACCATGTGAAGCTCAATGGGCTTTTTAATAAAGCCCCCTGATATTCTCTGGCAAGCAGACGTAACACGTAATCCAGGCTTCTAAAATGTTTAAATACCAATTGTAGGAAACGGGGGTCCAAATGCTGGTTAAAAAAGACCTATGCTGCTCCTGGGCCCTGATCCCACGTACCAGCTTGGTGGGGTGTTGACAGGCAGCCACCATCCCCCTGCTGACGGCTCGCTCGCCCGTCTGAGGGAAATGCATAGACCGTGATGGTGCATGCTGGCACCCTCTCGATAACTAAGCTCTCTTGCCTTGTTTTCTTGGCAAATTCTTCCAGGGCGAAGCTGTTTAATAATATTTTCAGCAGCACGCAGGCTGCCAAAGAAGCTCAGCCAAAACGCGTTCCTTGCCTCTGTGGATTTGACACTTCAGGCGGGCCTGGGGGGCAGTTATGACCTGAAATCCTTGTTTAACGACAAGACAGCCTTATTAGCTGAGCTGCCAGCAGGCTTGGCAAGTGGGCAGCAGCTCTAAGGGGGGCAGACTGAGTATCAACTGTGCCTCTTAATGAACATAGGTGATAGCCCAGGGTGGATTGTCTGGATCACACTTGATTGAGACACAAAGCAGCTATTTAAAGGGCCAGCAACAACCAATGCTGGAACGGGGGAGGGAGGGAACAGTTTTAGTGTCTAATAATTTGTCATTTTAAAGCACAAACCAACTAAAAGTAGCAGGGAAGTCCCTGGGAAGGAGCCAACCACAAGCTTCTCATTCTTGGCTCAGCCCAAATGCGTCTTTCATGTGTTCAGAATAACTATTCTCCTCTGAAACATCGGCCTGATCCTTCTTTGTTTCTTCTGCTTTTCCTTTTCCTTTATTTTCTAGCTTGGCTTCAGGCGCCATCTACTTCTGGGCCGATTCACTGTCCCCTAAGAAATCTGCCGACATTGCCTAGAATTTGGGGTGTGCTGGGTTTTGGCAAATACACAGGGATGAAGTGAGAAGGCAGCAGCCTGTTAAAGCAAAGCATTTGAGCTACCTTCCTCACACTTTTTTTAAAGCAAAGCATTTGAGCTACCTTCCCCACACTTTTTTTTTTTAAGGCGGATGGATCCTGCTGCCTGCGGCAATCAGCCACCAGGCTGGAAAGCTAGAAAACGAGCCAGATCCAACAGACTGTGATTGCCCAGATATATACTGCCCTCCTTTCTAAGGGACGTATTGGCGTCCTGGCCACGTGGATCATTTCAAACAGGACAGAACTCTGAGGCATAGACTGTAGGGAACAATTCTGCTTTCCAACGGATGAGCTAAATGAGACCTGATTTTATCTCTGCCCAGCAAGTAATTGCTCCTTAGTGCTGGTGTTTGTAGGATCAAAGCATTTAGGGAAGTACCTAAAAACCCACCAGTCTCCTTGCCGGCTGACAGAGCAGGGCTTTTTGAGTGAGTGGATGCATTTTTGTTTCCTTGCTAGAGCAGCGTTTTTATAATACAGTTTCCCTCAGATCAACCACAGGAACATGGACTGTCGGCCAAAGGTACAGCAAAGGGAAGAGGTCCCTTCAAAGTGCTTCCTGCTCTTCTCTGATATCTCCCCAGGCCTGGCCAAGGTTCCCCGCCAAGGTCCTTCCAAAACAGGTGTCTCTAAATGCTTATCCCATGTTGCTCTAAGAAGACGGTCTTAAGTCCAATGGGGGAAGCAAAAAGGGTATTTTGGGGAGGCAGGGGATGGGGGTTTGCTTAGAAATCTTTGTTTTTATGGTAAATTTAATATTTAACCAGCAAATGGAGAATCCCCTTTTTTGACCACGTGGACAGAGGCTGCCCCCCCATTTCCTGATCCCGGTGATGCTTATCCCATGTTGCTCTAAGAAGACGGTCTTAAGTCCAATGGGGGAAGCAAAAAGGGTATTTTGGGGAGGCAGGGGATGGGGGTTTGCTTAGAAATCTTTGTTTTTATGGTAAATTTAATATTTAACCAGCAAATGGAGAATCCCCTTTTTTGACCACGTGGACAGAGGCTGCCCCCCCATTTCCTGATCCCGGTGGGGAGCCCCAAATAACCGACAAAAATCACGTGGGGGAAGGTACAGCCCTCGGTTCACCCATCAGTCTCTCCACTGACATGCAGCCCCCGGGCCCGATTTATCACTGCTGCCAAATCGCCCACCTGTTGCCCTGACGTACACGACTGTGCCTAGCGGTGACGGATTGGGCCCCATGGACGTGCAAGCGAGCTGAGCAGTCAGTGATGTGCACTGCTCTGCCTACTGCGAGCTCAACGTAGCCATCGGCCCTACTGCCAGGCTAACTGGCTCTCCCCAAAGCCCGGAAGAAAGCCAACCGTCTGACTAACCTCAGCGAGTTGGCTTGGCTTGGCTGAGCAGGTGTGGGCGGGCCCTGCGTGCAAAATGCACGCCTCATGAGGGCTCATGACGAACGCCTGTGTGTGGAAAGAGGGGGAGGGATTCCAGCACGGGGAGTGGGAACTGGCATCACTGCAGCCTTAAAGCAACCGCCCCAGACTTGTGCAATCCTGTCGGTTCGTGTTTTGATTGGCTAGCTCCACAACGGAGTGAACAGTCATCTTTGGGAGAAAAAAAGCATGACACCGCTGTTGCTTTCCCCGAAGGAAAGCAGGGCATTGACGTCACCGCCATCCGCACAGCCCTCCACACGCACAGGGGGGGCTCAGTCTCTCGGTGCGACCCGGCATCTCTCTGTTCAGGTCATTAGGATGGGGGGGATAGGGCGATGAGCGATCAATCCCACAATCCCCTGCTTTTAATTTCAAGAAGGCTCCGCAAAAAACCTCGGCGAGGGCCAGTCCCGAGCGCTTTTTCTTGGGAGAAGTAAATGCTTATCGTTAGAAACCAAAAATATATATTCTTTTCTCTTTCAAAAACTCCATCCTCTGAAAATATCCAGCGGCGGGCAAGCAGGATGAAACCACTCCCCCAGCCCATCCAAACCCAGCTGCTCAGGGCTCCTATGGATAGGATCCACCGCGCCGCCTGCTTCCAATCAATCCTCTCAGCCACATGCAGAAATCCAAACCCAGCGACGGCAGGAGTAGGCCGGGAAACGAAAAGTCCGGCCTTTGGCTCGGAGGCGGTGTGTGTGCGTGGACAGGGGGAGGGGTGCTATTTGCTTTTGAAACTCTGCCTCCCACTTCTCTACATCTAAAATAGCAAAGTCAGCTCCTTAGATGCGGCGGTGACAGAACGAGCCTGGGCGAAGGGATGGACGCATCCACAGTCCTCTAAGTCATCTGGTGGGGTGCTTCCAGCATCTCCATCAAGAAGGTGTCGATGGGCGTATCTCCTATGAGCTTGAAGAAGAACAGGTGCTCCAGGCATTTCAGGCCAATGGATCGCAGGGCAGGGAGACGAAGCAAGAGCTTTGCAAACCTGCAGGAGGGGGAAGGAAAAGTGGCGAAGGGATGGACGCATCCACAGTCCTCTAAGTCATCTGGTGGGGTGCTTCCAGCATCTCCATCAAGAAGGTGTCGATGGGCGTATCTCCTATGAGCTTGAAGAAGAACAGGTGCTCCAGGCATTTCAGGCCAATGGATCGCAGGGCAGGGAGACGAAGCAAGAGCTTTGCAAACCTGCAGGAGGGGGAAGGAAAAGTGGGGAAGAGAACAAGGTTAGACCCCTCATACTCAGCTGGCATTGCCTAGTGGAGAACTCACATGGCTCTCGGGAATGCTCCTGGAACACATGGGTCTGGTCCGGTGGTGTCCCACATGCTAGTCACATGTGGCTGTTTGACCAGTTGAGCACGGTTAGTTGGCTTGAACAATGTGGCTACTGCTTCAGAACTGGTTGGACACAATGGCTGTGTCTACACTGGGCCACTTATTCCGGAAAATCAGCCGCTTTTCCGGAATAACTTGCCATCTGTCTACACTGGCCCCTTGAATTTCCGGAAAAGCACTGACGGTCTACTGTAAGAAATCAGCTGCCTTTCCGGAAAAACTATGATGCTCCCGCTCGGGCAAAAGTCCTTTTTCTGGAAAACTGTTCCGGAAAAGGGCCAGTGTAGACAGCTCAGTAGTCTTTTCCGCAAAAAAGCCCCGATCGCGAAAATGGCGATCGGGGCTTTTTTCCGGAAAAGCACGTCTACATTGGCCAAAAGCATCCTGCCAATGTAGACGCTCTTTTTCCGGAAATACTTATAACGGAAAACTGTTCCGTTTTAAGCATTTCTGGAAAATCATGCCAGTGTAGACGTAGCCAATGGGTCTAATCAAACACAATGCCGGCTTCGGATTGGACCTCCCCCCGTTTCTGGAAGCCACGTGGCTAACTCCCTCCATCTACTCATTACACCAAGAAGATACCAACTGGTTCGTTATCCTGCAGGACATGCAATCGAGAGAAACAATGGCGTTTAGAATAGCCTGTGGTTACCAGAAGTGAAAGAGGGTTGGGAGAAATCTCTCCCTCTGGGTTACATCTGGGTTGTTGGGTTTGCATTTGGCAGTGCTTTGTGTGATGTCATTTCATCATTCCTTGATTTCTGAGGATAGGACAAGAAGCAGTGGATTTAAGCTGCAGCAAAGGAGGTTGAGGTTGGACATGAGGAAAAACTTCCTAACTGTCAGGGTGGTGAAACACTGGGCTAAATTGCCTAGGGAGGTTGTGGAATCTCCATCACGGGAGATATTTAAGAGCAAGATAGAAAGACACCTGTCAGGGATGGTCTAGAACGTACTGGGTCCTGCCGTGAGGGCAGGGGACTGGACACGATGACCTCTCGAGGTCCCTTCCAGTTCTGGGATTCTAATATTTGCCTCTACCGTTTGTGTGAGTCTTGCACCATTGCAAAGAAGAAAAGAAACATATTGGGCCCTGTCACGTGTTCAACAGAGACCACAGGTCAGCATCTGGCCCCCTTTTTCTCCTTGGAAATAGGAAAATGTGACTATGAAACCACAAAAACCAGCCCAGTTGGAGCAACTTTTAACTCATTTAATGAAACGGACTCGACTTCAGCCTGACTGCATCCCTTTCATAAAGTAACACAGCAACTCAAGACAGACCGCAGCGCCACAAGTCACGGGTTTTCCCAGAGAAGCGCCTGTTTCCAGACCTGCCAGGAATGTAGAGACGAGGGTGGAGGGGCGCGATACCCGGGGTGTGGAAGATGGCAGTATCTTCTGAAGCAGGGAGTTGAGTTTGGTGATCAGACACGCCCCCCGACTGTGCCAGGGCAGGTGTTAGAACACAGCCCTGCTTCCTCCCACTGGATCAGGTGAGCAATTCCCCTGTCTCTTTGGCTGCTGTTTTGGGAGCTGCCCATCGCCTTTACCCAGGGGCTAAGAGGAGCTCTCTCCTTCCCCAGGAGAGGTGCTTTTCCTGTCGCACCCACGAAGAAAAATGTTGACAAGCAACAAGGGTGAGGGCTTTGATGCTTCATGGGAAAAGTCTTTCTAAACACAGGAGAAACAGGGTTTGGCACGGAGGGAAACTCCAGCCAAGAGCACGATCCTGTGTTTAAGGAGCTCTCAGCAGCTCTCCTGTCGCGGGGAACAGACAGACCTTGCTGATTTTTGGAAAAGCCCCTGATGTGAGACACACTCCAAGGCTGGCCAGCAGCTCTGAGGAAGGCTGTGCTCTGCTTGCCCCGAAGCTACAGACAAGCAAAGAAGAGCCAGCTGGTGGGGAAACCATTCCAGGTACCAGGGATCCCAAATGCAGAGAGAGGGCCAAGAGATCCCTTTTAGCTGGGGAAGCTGCTCCTAAGTAAGCCACTGATTTGGACCCCAAGGCAAACCCTAGGACATACCCACAATTTCTGTTTGTTTGTTTCCCAAAGGGCAATCATCAAGTGATCCTTCCCCTGTTGCCAATTTCCACCCTCTGGCAAATAGAGGCTAGGGACATCAACCCTGCACACCCTGGCTAGTGGCCATTTGAAATTATCAAGTTCTTTTTTTTTTAACCCGTTATAATCTTGGCCTTCACAACATCCTCTGGCAAGGAGTTCCACAGATTGACTGTGCGTTGTGTGAAGAAAAACTTCCCTTTTTTTGGTTGAAACTGGCTACCTCCTGTGACGTAGTGGGGGTACCTGGCTGGTTTCTAGGCTGCTGGCTCTGGGGTAACCCCCACTGGCTGCCATGGGTACCACGACCCAGCAAAACAGGATGAGTCATGGCTGGAAGCATGGAGGAGACAGCCTAGGGAAGGGGACTGGAGTTTAGGGGCCCAGTCTCCCCCATCTCAAGGGGGCCTGAGGCATCCTAGCCCAGCTCTGTGACCAGATTCCATCTGTGCTGTGCTGTATCCTGGAGAGGCAATAAACTTCCTCTATTACACCGGCTGGTGCAGTCTGTTTGTGCCATTTCGGGGTGCAGGAGATGGGGGACCCCCAACGCGCCGTCACACTGGTTGACCTTTTTTTTTTTTAACAAAAAAAATCCATGGTGGTCCTCATAAAAAAAATACATTGTTTGGTGTTTCTCAGTCTTAAAAAGTTTAAGAAACACTGTTGTAGATTCCTCAAACTATTTGGTTTAACTATCCTAACTTGGCTGTGACAATGGGCTCCTGGAATGGGTGATTTCAGTAAAACACAAAATATGTTCTATGAGGATAAATCATACCGAGTAGTATATGTTCAGCTCTTCACTTACTGCACCTTAAAGTCTGATAAATTGGTGGAGAACATCCCCCAGATAGAAAATCCATCACTATCACTGCCAATGTCACTACATGGCTGCCCAAAGTTAATCGTCACAGTAAATGCAGAGACAGTATATCTCACAGACCTAGGGCCATGTGGACCTGAATGCTAGGCTATGTGGTAGACAGCGAACTGTGAGAAAATATCTTGGAAACATGACGAAAAAGGGAGCAGGGCCTCTATACCCTGACCCCTCCAGCCACAGGAACAAGAAGAGTCATTTCACATGAGGGTTAAGTTGTCAAGGCACCATGATTTTGGGCTTCATGTGAGAGTAGAATGAGGCAGAACTGGTAAGCAGCCAGCCTAGGTAATATGCTTCCACCCGTTCCCCCAAACCAGATCAATTTCCAATTGGATGTATGGCCAAACGTTACCATGCTGCTGACAGGGACCCAGGACTATCCACATATCCCATTTTCCTCTTGTGTCTTCTGCCCCATTTGTGAGGGAAGGAAGACCAGACAGGGGAAACTCATCTGTAGGAACAGCCAAACAGTCACAGCCTGCGAGTTCTCTGTGGATATTGTCCCCTCACAGATCACACTCCAGTATCATGTGTACACTGGCTCCTCATATACTGGCTGCAGGAGCTCATCCCCGCACTGAGCCAGGAGGCGGCCGGAGTGCTCAGTCAGCTGGAGGACCTACAGCCAGGGGATTACAACCGAGTCAAGGAGGCCCTGCTGCACAAGTTCGGGCTGACCCCCGAGATGTACAGGAAGAAGTTCCGGGGGGTACAGAAAGGGCCACGGGAGACCTATGTGGACCTGGCCTCCCGCCTGGCGCAATACTGCCGCAAGTGGGTGTCTGGAGTCGGAGCCCAGACCGCAGAGGAGCTGCTCAAGCTGGTCCTGATGGAGCAGTTCTATGAAGCGTGCCCACCCAAACTGAGGCTGTGGCTCAAGGACCGGAGACCAGAGAACCCCCAGGAGGCCGGGAGACTGGCGGATGAGTTCACGGAGAGCCGGTCCGGGTGTGAACGGGAGTCCCGGAGAGAAAGGGAACCGCGCAGAGACCAGATCTCGGCTGAGCGACGGAGGGAGTCAACTACGGGGCGAGACCAAGGAACAGGTCGTCTGTGCCCCAGAGAACCAGCCAGGTACCCCCACTACGTCACACCTCCATAAGGCTGAAAAGTCCCAATCTTATTAATCTCTCCTCGTGTGGCAGCTGTTACATACCCTTAATAATTTTTGTTGCTTTTTTCTCAATCTCTGCCAATTCCGACATAAGACTCGTCCCCACCTCAATTTCTTTCCTGCCCCCCTCACTGCCACAAGCAGCTCCAGGAGGTCTCTGCTCAGTTTGTTTGGCTCCTTCCTCCTCCCCATACTGCAGCGCTTGGGATGAATGTTTTAAAATAATTCCCATTAATAATGGAGAATGTCTTTATTTATTTATTTGTATTGTCACCGTGCAAGCAGGGCTTCAAAACAAGCAACGTAGTTTCAAGGCTGGAGTTGGGCCAGCGAGAGAGAAAGAGAAAGAGAGTGTGTGTGTTTGCTGAGCTGGACAGAACAGCGGGACAAGGGCCAGAAAAAACAAATCAGTCCTGCCATCCGATTCAGGAAGTTTCACTCTAAATCAAACCAGATGAGGACTGCAGCCTTCAGATACATTTAACCATGAGATAACCATCCACGGCACAATGCATCAGGGCTGGAGTGGGGACAGGAGAGAAGGGAGCTGATTGCATGAGGGTGCTGTGTGTCACGTACACATCAAGCCCTTCTCAGCAGAGTAGCACAGGGAAGCTGGGACTCAGTTATGTTTGGCCCTGGAATATTTCCCTTAGGCCACCTCTATACTTATCCAGAAGTTCAAATTAAGATACAGAACTCCAGCTCTATTCATTGCCTAGCTGGAGCCAACGTTCCTTCATTCTCTCTTTCGTGACAGCTTCACAGCGGGAAGTGAACGGGAGCAAACACTCCCATTCACTCCCCTTACTCCTCACAAATCGAGAAGTATCGGTGTGTCTGTGTGAGGGAGCACCCTCAGCACTCGATTTAGCAGGTCTTTACTAGACCTGCTAAATCAAATGCCAGAAGATAGACTGCCACAGTGTTGATCTTCTCGCTAGTATAGACATGGATTTAGTCTGGGCAAACGGGAGACAACCTTTCAGTGTGAGATCAAGTGAAGGTCAAAGCCATGACTGTTGGGAGTGTAATCAAGCAGTCTTTGTAAGATTGTCAGAATGGGATAAAAAAGTAGCGTGAATATCATTGCCGGTTCTGTTGGGTCTGGAGGATGGAAGAGGAGACAAGTTAACGACCTTGGCAAACAGGCCAGGAAAGGCTGGTTGAAGCCCAGAAAGCCACATGCCACCTACCTAAGTTTTGGGTCTTTTCGCTGTCCCTAAAGCCAACTCAAGTTAGGAATGTAAAATCCTGTTTAATAGGTTAACTGGTTAAACGTGGCAGATAGAGAGCATCACTTGTTAAGGATGCTGCTTACTGGTTAATCTTTCACCTCCTTAACTCAAGCTCATATAATTTTCACCTTTCAAGTGACCCTGGTCCCAATTTTGACGGGACTTCATCAACTCAAGCTCATATAATTTTCACCTTTCAAGTGACCCTGGTCCCAATTTTGACTGGACCGCATTGCAATTTTCAAAAGATCTCAGCTACCATATGGGCTCTAAGTAGTGGCCCAATCATAAATGCCATAAAGGGAGCTGCCTTTGAAAATCATTAATTTCATTTGGTGCCCCTTAGTTCTTATGTTATGGGAAGGAGTAAATAATGTTTCCTTATTCACTTTCTCCACCCCAGTCATGAATTTATAGACCTCTGTCATATCCCCGCACCTTAGTCTCTGAGGCATCTTAAATCACATCAGCCCAATGAGCCAACCCTGGCTCAGCACTGGCTTTGACTATCGATACTGCAGCCCAGAACATTGCAACCACAAAGCAGTCATGGGTTGGCACAATCATGCCTCAATCCTTGCACAAATCAATTACTGTTGTAAGAGGATCTATTTTTTTTTACTTATCCGGCAAAGAAAGCCCAGAAAACCAGATGATACATGAATGCAAATACCTAACCTCTTTTGCCATTTGTACTGATAAATACCCCTAACTCGCTTACACCAACAGGCTATTCACAGCGCGTTTCTTCGTTTTGCACTTAACCAGAAGTGGGCACGGCCAAGCGTAAGTGGGAAAATGCACCCATTCAGTTCTGGAATGATCCAGGAAAGTGTCCGAAATTCCACTGTTCCCAGACAGATCGGGGTGGAGAGAGAGGGAGAAGCATCAGCTGAGGCTTTCACTTCCCAGCAGCAACACTTGTGTGCCAAAGGAAACTATCTCTGTGTGGGTTTTGTTCTGCTGTGGTTTGTTCTTGGTGGTTTCTCCTGAGGGCCACTCCTCCCACCACCACATGAGGCTAGTGGCTAGAGCTGGGAATCAGGAGCCCAGTGGTTGTATTCCTGGCACTGACGTGTCATGGGTGCAAGTTGCATCACTTCTCTCTGCCTCCACTCGCCATTCAATAAAATGGGGGTTGAGCCACTTACTCCAATTCACAGGAGGGGGGTGTGAGGCTTCACTGATGGAGCAGGGCTAAAATTAATCACTTCCTCCATGTTGCCTCCACTGACGCAAGCAGGGAAATGTAGTTCTCTGAGTTCCCATTTACTCATCTATAAAAGGTTAATGTCACCCCTACCTGTAAGATTATTAAAAAAAAAACAAAGGGTCTGGTAGCACTTTATAGACTAACAAAACCTATACAGTAAAACTCCAAGGCTACGTCTACATTGGCATCCCTTTCTGGAAAAGGGATGCTAATGAGACGAGTCGGAATTGCAAATCTGCGGGGGATTTAAATATCCCCCACGGCATTTGCATTTACATGGCTGCCGCTTTTTTCCGGCTTGGGGATACGCCGGAGAAAAGCACCAGTTAACGTGATTCTCCAGAAAATAAACCCTTTTCCGGTGGATCTCTTATTCCTAATTGAAAGTA